TTTTTTTTTTTTTTTTTTTTTTTTTGTAAAAAACAATTTCATTGTTGTAGATAGTTGGTTGAGCTCCCATTTTGCATTCAAATTTCAATAGTGGCTTATTCCACCTTTATGCCAATTATCACCAATTGTGTAGGTTTATATTGGGCTCAGAAATCAACTCAAAAGAACCATAAAAATGGAGAAGGTACTGGATGGATCGGTCATCACAAAACTCGGTGAATAATATGGCATCATTTGAGATTGATATTTCACTAATAAATGAAATTAAAAGCCTGCCAATGGTGGTTTACAAGAATTCTTATCACAGCTCTGTCAGGTCACAGCCGATAACCCATTACAGGCCGAAGCCCCATAAAAAAAACCACAGCATAATTCTAAACGAATCACAGGTCTTCTCATGCAAACCAAAAATGGTCCACTTATTCATGTTTAGTTCAGTTATTAACATTTTTAAATATTGTTTTATTAATTCCAGTTACTCGGTGGTGCTTCTTTCTCCCATAAGTCTTCTAATAAAGCTAGTAAGATATCTTGACCCCCGTTTTAACCTTTCTTGGCATTGATGAAATATTTTCTCATGTTGAATAAAAGAAAATGTTTCTGGACTGTCCTTTCCAGGTCCAAAAAAGGGAAAAAGAAGAGAAGAATCATTAATAAAAATAATAAGGGACTAACTCCATTAGATCATCTTGGAACATATGTTTTTCTTTTTTTTAATCACAACGGTATTAATTTACTAATGATGCAAAAACTTTAGGAAATGATGAGCATATTTCCAGGCTAACTTATTAACGAATTCAGACTATCTTATCGAGATGAAGAAATTTATCCACAGATACACAACAGCAATAAATATATAAGCCAAAAGTAGAGAGAAACCACCTCATCTGCAGTCCTTTTCGTCTTTTGTAGTGTTGAAGCTGAAAACTTCTGCATTGCTACACCAGCATCAAATCTTAAAGTGTAATTTGAAGGTGCCAAGTGGATAGCTCTCAGTAGGGTCTTTTTGCATTCTTGCCACTGTTCAGCTTCATAATATGTACGAGATAGATATAGAAGAATTTGATAATCTGTATTGTAATAAAACTTCCGCAAGCAATTTTGATACTGCAAGATAACATTTGGCATTAATTCATGGATGCAATAACTACAACAACTTTTTGTTAGTAAGAGGAGACCTACAATTCAACTGTGAACAAGATATAAATATGTACCATTTTAACAGCCAATGAAAAATTTCCTTGAGCAAAATAGACGTGTGCCAAATTGATCCACACATCTGGCATCTGGACAAAAATGTTCCCACTTGCAGCTTCTTGAACCTACAACGACTGAAAAGTTAGCATAAGGTCTAATGGCCTTAATTTTACAACAAACAGGTTCTAAAAGGTTCTAGATACAAGTTCTCACTTGTGTAAAAATATCTTTTGAAACATCAAATTGACCTTTCTCAGCCAAGATTACCGCAGCACCATTAGCAGCATACAAATTAGCAGGATGTTGTACCAGAACCTGCTCAATTAAAGAATGAATATAAACCATTAAAACTGCAAGATTAAAGAAAGTAATCACAATTAACAACGAGGAAAAACAGAATATTGAGGAAATACGAGATGCCTATTGAAGATTCAACATTAGTCCAAAATATTTGCACTTCTTTATCCGTTCAAACTAAGGCATTAAAAAACTCATGTACAGTAAAGAACATGCTTAAAAAACTTTGTTACATACTGTCGCACATACTCTTTTAATAAAAAGTAATACATTCATTATCATCCATTTAAACAAGTGCAATAAATGTGTCTTTTAATCAGAAAATTTGTAGTATATGAAATAAGATGCGTGAACTTCACTCTATCAACTTTGATAGA